TAAGTGAGAAAAAGCCAACTATTATGGATCCATAATTGATTAAATGATACGATTCATGACAGTAAACTTTATTCCCTTATATGAACCGTCCGTTATGAACATGGGCGATAATGGCTCTCACGATTTCTCTCTTTTTTTTGTCTTTTCAATATCCATCCCTCATTCGATAGGTTACATTCCAACACATTGTTTTTTCTTTTAATATGATGAAACCTAGTACTGATGCCATTTTCTTAAAACTTAAACATTCTGGTAAAATTCTGTCGAACAAGGGCACCAAAGAACAATCCCTTGTTTTTTGGCAATATTTGTTTTGAATATGACAAACAACTATCAGGCTTCTGATCGAATGAAAGATTTAAGGGAAGCAGATTTTAATTGATGGCGATTGTTTCATCTAACATTTTGAAGGATATAGGTGACAGGTCCATCCTTTATAGACCCGGAGAATAGGTATCACCTGTTAGGATCCCAGCTATGGGAAAATAGTGAACACCAAACTGGTATAAAATATATATATATATATATATATATATATATATATATATATATATATATATATGTGTGTGTGTGTTTTTGTGTGTGACATAGTTTATGCAAAATGATAATACTAGGTAATCCGCAGCACTTCATCAGTTACCAAGGAGGATGATATCCTTGGAGAATGTCTTTACAATGTAAAATTCAGAATTTTTCAATAAAAACAGACCACTTTAAGTTTCCATGTAATAAGTTATTTCACTACGACCCCAGAGTAAAATATTTTTTCTCATATTGTAGATTTTAAAATTGATTGCTTTTATATATCGTCTTGTGCAGCAGATCCTTCGAATGTAGGCATTCACCTTTCTTTATTAATATTTTCAACATCGTAAATATTTTCTTTGGAAAAGTTAAGGATTCCCCGTCGAGTCTTATTCAGGGCGCTTAGATAACAAAACAACACAAATGATAAGCATATTGGCAATATTCTATCCCATATCAGATAAAGAACTGTGGCAATTGTCAAAGCGGTTCTTGTCTCAACCAACATGTCAGAGAAGATAATGTCTCCTGAAATTATAATATTTTCAATACATTTCGTTCTTAAAATCATTCGAGCTGGTTCAAGTAGCACATCGGTCGCTAAGTTGTCAATAGCCATACTCCATAATCATGGATCCATAATTGATTAAATGATAAATTTACAATAATATATGCACTTCTATTCATGACAGTAACTTTAAAACAATTAATATGCTAAAAAAAAAAACAATCAAATATTTATTCCCTTATATGAACCGTCCGTTAATTTAACATGGGTCGATAAATGGCATCAATATATATTCTTTTATGTAGTTCTTTTCTTGCTGCGGTCTTGAGCCAAGTTAAGCCTTTTGTCTTTTCAAACCATCCATAGTCCCTCATTTCGATAGGTTTTAATTGCTGCTTTATTTTTCTGTTCCTTATTGACTTTATATAAAGATCCTATAGTGAGTGTGAAAAAATTTTTTTTTTAATTTTATATTAATAAATTGAAAACATGCAATGATAATAGCGAAATTGCAATATGAGCACTGGTAAAATGGTTTTCTTGACAAATTCATTGTTTTTAAAGGCTTTTTGAGGTATTCCATCTGTCTGTTCTTGATAACTGATATCCAGAACTATAATTGTCCTTTACTACCATTACACACAGATTTAATGAGGCCCTTGACGAAAAACAACGCGAGGACCATATTATCATATATCTCGAAGGTCTTCGACAAGGTGTGGCACAAATGTTTGCTACACAAGCTCTCCAGGGATTCCATCGCTAGAAGGGTTTTCTCAATTGTAAGATACTTCCCTAACAGGTAGATCTTTGAAGGTAGTTATTAACGGCTAGTCTTCGAGTCCCTGGAGGTCAACGCTGGCGTCACAACTCGAACTAACCCTGTTTCTGATTTACATAAGTGATCCGACAAAAAATATACTACGATCGTTTGCAAACATCAATGACGTTGATGCGACGACACACGGGCGCACATCCAAAACTTTTGAGATTGGCATATCACCTCTTTTCCGATCTGACAGTAACTTCCAAGTGGGGTAAAACTGGCTGGTTACATTCAATGTCTTAGAAACCAACATGCTTACATTCCATCACCGCTGATCAGACCCCGAAATACCGCCAGTCATGATAAACGGATGTCCCTTCGAGGATGTCCCTTGAGAGAACATCGGGCCTCAAACACACAGCCGACCTCAAATAAAACTCTTATATACGATTAATCGCTAAAGATGCACGTAAAATGACCAGATCTTTGTAGCAATCCAATAATTACCCGACTCCCCATGCTATCCACTACCTCTATAAGAGCAAGACCAAGCCGAAAATAGAGTATTGTTGCTATATTTGTGCGGGACTTGCCCAGTCCTCACTAACCAATCTTGAGAGAGTTCAAAATATTCCCAGAGTCCTTATTAGAAAAGAATTATTTTCCACGTTCTAATCTCAATCTCTCTCTCTCTCTCTCTCTCTCTGACAGGATATAGCGAGTCTCTCACTGCTCTGTCGCTACTACCATGGAAAATGTTCCAACGAACTTCATTCCTTGGTTCCGCCAGGTATAACCTTCGCAGTGCCACTTGCATAGTAGCCCACCCTGCCCATATTTCCTCTGTATTCCATCGGTGATAAGTTCCCCTCAAACAGCTTTTTTCCCTCTAACCACTGCGCTGAACCTGTGCATATCTAGGGTGAACCGTTATCTCCTCCTCCTATCCAGTTCTTAACGTAACCCTCCGTCTTTAGTGGTCCCCGAGTCTTGTACAGGGTGAAACTTACAGTAAAATAATTGAAACTTTTATTTTAAGTAGATTTTGTGAACCTTACTCTAAAAAAGAAACATGTTGCTACATGCCTTACTTCTTGCCTATCTCACACTGCGAATTTTTCTAAGCTCTATACTAAACATTAAATCTGTTCTATGTATATATAGAAAAAAGAATTAACTCAACATGTTTTTTCTTAGAATAAAAATCTCAGTTTCTCAAGCAGATTTTTATGCGGTTGATCATCCGTAGGGAAAATCATCACTCGTTAATTTTACTGGGAATGTTTTATATTTTGTTTCGCGGCATATCAACGTTTATGAGTTTATTTAATGACAAAATCTAAATATTTTAAACACAATTGCATGTTTTCAGTTACAGATAAAATGTATTGTGGGTCATTTTACTGTCAATAGTTGATGTAGGTAATTTTTTTAATATAAATATATATTGTTCGTGTTTTACAATAAAAATATATTTTTATACTTTCATAGTATTTTGTTTTTGTCTGGGGGTTCATTATTTGCCCATAGCTCGGATCCTAAGATGTACTACCAGCCCGGGTCAGGGTGGAACTTGGAACAACAGCAATTAAGAGGTAATTTCACGCTCCCCAAAATTTCCAATCTCTCGATCTGAAGTCTTGATGCCGGATGTAGTTTATCATCATCCCTAAGATTAAACCGAAATGAAAGACGACGTACCTCAAGCAGCAAACAGCCCTTATTTCTTTAACAAAAATAATATTTATTCACAAATTTGGGAGTCACAATATATATATATATATTGGGAGGCTTGTATTAAAATTTGAATGGTCTGAAAAAGAAGTCGAATAATAATAAGAAGAAAAACATGAAGAAAAACAAGAAAAAAAAGATGAAAAACAAGAAAAAACAAGAAAAAAAAACAAGAAAAAGAAGAAAACAAGAAAAAAAGAAAAAACACAAGAAAAGGAGAAAAACAAGAAAAAAACAAGAAAAAGAAAAAAAAAAGACAAGACAAGAAAAATCAAGAAAAAAAGCAAGAAAAAGAAGATAAAAGAAAAAGAAAAAACAAAAGAAAAAAAACAAGAAAAAACAGGAAAAAGAAAAAAGAAAAGAAAAATCAAGAAAAAAAACAAGAAAAAAGAAGAAAAAAAGAAGAAAAACAAGAAAACAAGAAAAGAAAAAAGAAAATGAAGAAAAAGAAAAAGAAAAAGAAGAAGAAAATGAAGAAGAAGAAAAAGAAAAAGAAGAAGAAAATGAAGAAGAAAATGAAAAAGAAAATGAAGAAGAAAAAGAAATTCGAGTTATTGCTTTCAATAACTTGCGTTTCCTATTTTTTTTTATTTTCAGAGGCTTGATTCATTGTTTTGTTGTTTATGACTTATCGACCTTTTCAGTTTATTTAAAGCCAGAAAGAATTTTTTGATTGTAACATTTTTTTTTTACAGATAACAAAGGCAATTTGCGCGTAAGGGAATATAACGAACGGGAATGGAATTGGAACTCGGCTCTACGATTTCCAATTCCGTCATTTATTACTCTTTACAATTTCCGTTATTTATTATACCACTCACACAATCAAGCTTACAGCGCTTGGTATTCTCAAGTGGTCACCAATCTAGGTACTGACCAGGCTCGGTGACGCTTAACTTATCATAAGAGAATCTTCGTTTCAACCTGATATAGCTGTAAGACTATTTCTCAAAGGTAGCTGAATCTATATCCTTTACTGTGATAAGATTTTTGCGAAAAAAAAATCTTTTTATTCGGAAGATATTTCCTCTCAAAGATGCCATCATTTTTTTTTTGTTGCACGAGGCAATATCCAAACAATAGTGTCAGTGGTAAAAGGGCAGTTAAATAATAGGAAATTACTTTGACAAACGATGTGAAAACTGTTTTGCACATGGATGTAACGGAGACCTTTTTAATAGAACCTCAAAGCTTAGCGAACTGTCATCTAAAATAATCATCATCTAGATTTCTTTCTATCTTATCCCCTACCATTATTGCAGTTAATACCTACCCATGTGAGTTCTTAATAGTCACTTATAGCCGCAGTATCGTCGCTTGTCCAATTTCGTCATCGTTCCGTCCAATCTTGGGATGATGAGTGTTCCTGGCTCGTCTCAATTGATTAAGCAGATATATTGCTCTCAGTCTCGGTAATTGCCTATTTCAGTATTGTCTCTTCGTTTAGCTGAACCCCGGAAGCTTTTCATGTACATACTTTCTATTTTGTATCTTTTTTTTTTGTCAGTTAATCATTTTATCTACGTCCAACGGCGCGGATTTTCAGCAGTGTATATGTCTGTGTTTTTTTTTTTTCTCTCTCTTTTCCTTCCGTTGAACGGATTAGTAGATTTATTTCATTTCTTTTTTTTTTTTCGTTGGTTCTTTTCGTTCCGTGCGTTCATCCTGTCGAAGTCTTTCTCTGTGATTTTTCTTTCTTTTCTTTTTCCCCCCTCTCGTTTTTTTTTCTTTCTTTGCGTTCAACCGTCTTGTTTCTCCAATCGCTTTCTCTTTGGGTTTATCCCCTCCTCCGCGTTTTCTATTTCAATCCTTTTACCCGACTACTCGCTTCTTGTCTCCATCTTTCCTTTACCTCTTTTTGGCCTCTCCATCATTCTTTACCCCCCACTCTTCGCTTTCTACTTTTCGCCATCATTCTTTCCCTTCCATTTTGCTTAATTCTTAGCCCGCCTCACGTCTTTGCTTTCTCCATCATTTTAGCACCCCACGTCTTCGCTTTCTCCATTCTTTACACCCCCACGACCGATGTCTTTGTTTTCTCTATGATTTTTTTTATCTCCCTCACGTCTTTGCTTTCTCCATCCTTATTTAGCTCCCCCTTCTTCGTTTTCTCCCTTTCTACATCACTCTTTCCCTCTCGTTTCGCTTTTCCTATCCTTCTCAATTTCGCCATCATTCCTCTCCCTCTTCACTTTTTTCAACCTTCTATTCAATACCTCTTCACTCTCTAATTTCTTCTTTTCTCCCCTCCAAGCTTACTCTCACTTATTCTCCCGCCTTCCCTTTTCCCGCTTTTTTCCATCTTTTCTTTTCCTTATCTCGCTTTTTACATTCTTCCCTTTTCCCGCTTTTTTTTCTTCATTCTCCCATTTCCTGTTTTCCTTTCGCTACTCATTAATTTTTTCCACATGTTATAATATTTTAGAATTATGTGCTCGACACGCCAAAATTACAGGAAAACATGCAGAGAAATAGCCGATATCGTATGAACGTGCATTTTACACACATTGTTAATCGTAAAGAAATATAAACGTCTGTTAAATATTAGTGTACAAAGACTGAAAGATCAGAAATTAAACCCGACATAGTTTGTGATATTTTCTCATTTGAAACTCAGATATTATAGAAAACGAAAGTGAACCGCTTGTACAAGAATACCTACATGTTCGAGAAATAAACCGATATTCCTCTTGAAATAACGTGTAACAATTTCACCAAAATAATTAAGGCAACTGAAATCTCACTTCTAATTAGGACGAAAACAGCGAGAAAGTAGAACATATCAGAAAACTAAGTAAATAATATGATCTTCAACAAAAGAAACCATGAGTATTTTTTTTTTATTTACAATAAGAGATTGTTGATAAAAGTATATCCTTGTTGAAGAGTGGAGAACTCTTGGTCGTGAAATAGTAAAACTATGAAGATGTGTGTCGTTGTCAGAGTCATTAGAGAACTCGGAGTGAATTCAACGATCCTTGCTAGTAGGGTTGAAAAATTAAAAAATCAGGAAAACTGCAACATTTCACACAACATTAAAAGTAAAAAAAAGTATGATAAATCCCTTTTGACTCAATTAAACATGTTTTTACAACGTCACAATTTTAAATTTACGGTCCAACCTTTCTCAAGAAATGGCAATAACAAACTTGGTATTTAAGCTCGAGAGGTGGCTACTATATCCCTTTGATATTAAATAGCAAATTGTAAATGCAGTAGTAATATTGGCAGTTTCCCAATAAGGTAAATATCTGACATCATAGATAGAGAAGCCAGTATTACAAGTTTACCATTCATCCATGCTTAGAATATCGCTGCGACATATGGTCCGGTGCCCCTGATATTTACCTGAAGCTCCTTAAGATCCAAAGAAGAATCTGCAATATTATTGGTCATGATCTGACGTCTCAGCTCTAGTCACTTTCACACTGCTGTGAGTTTTTGCCTCTTATGGTAATTGTTCGGATGAGTTCTTTACCTAAACTTTATGAATTTAAGCGCGGTACTAGACTGGTGTCGAGATCTCATCAGTTTACAGTTGAACTGGCGAGATTTAGCCGTAAGTTCTATGCTAACAGTTTCTTTTCTTGCACTTCTTGCTTGTGAAAGTCCCTTCCGGCGCCATGCTTTCCAGCCAGCTTTAATTTGAAGAAAAAATATGCAATGCCAATCGCTATCAACTGTCACACCAGATTACTCTCTTCTCTTTCTGCTCATTATTAATGTTTCTGTCCCTGATTCTTCTACACCTTGTGACCCCTTGTGTTTTAGCGACATTACTATCTTCCTTGAGGGTGATTCCGATTTTAAAAAGTATTGCTTCCGGTTGGAATTTATGAAATCTCTCTCTTAAAACACTTTATAAAGCTTCGCGTCTGGTTGAGATTCACTGGTTTTCCAAATAATACAGATGAGACTGGAGAAAGTAAATGTTAGAAGGAACAAAATCTGTGATTGTTGTAACCTAGGAAAGGTTTCTGAATAGAATAATCACACGAAGGTTGGTAATGAACGATAATACTTAGGACAAGAACAACACATATAGGATTCACCAGAAGCGCGTAGAAGAAATAGTTAACTGCTAGAAGTGATTCAAGTGAATTCCACAACGAATCTCCAACTGCAGCATATCTACCAACCGCCCCACACGGTCAGATGTAGCACAAGGCCGAATTTAATGTGGGAGATCCAAGCCCGTAGTCCCAACCAAAAATTCCCCTTAGACTTTCATATAAAACGGAATCGGGTAGCTGTTTCCCGAGACGAGAATCTTCCCTTCGACATAGCCTCGTCTGGGGATCCGCTTTGCCCGAAGGCAGAGACTTTGAACAGCACAGCTGGAGATGAATCTCCAACTACAGACTAACATACAGTATTTACTACCTAATTATGTGAATGATGATATACCCATTATGGTCTGTAGATATGCTACAACGGTGATCATGGCAATACTGGACATCTGGAGAGTCATGCTGTCACTTGATCTCCACTGACAAATCCCCAAAATGTCTGGTGTCAATATTTAACTATAAAGATAATAATGACGATTTAAATATTACTAGTAAAAATGTTACAGAATGTGTAGGCTAGCCCTTAATGACAAACATACCCTAATTGTCAGAACTCTCATGTCCCCAACTGACGATTACCTCTGTTTATATTTTAATTTAAAACAAAAAAATGCACGATGACAATCAGTACAGTCGCACGAATAGAAGAGTGAGGACGGTTTTCCTCTAGCAGATTCCTCTTTGAGATAAGCCACCAAATGGTTCACATGCTTGCTCTTTATTACCCTCTTGAGACCTCCAAACAATAATGCCTATTATGCCCCACACGTCTGCCAGTCTGCAAGGCATCGGAGGGAACTTGAGACGGAGATAACTGATAGATACCTGGGTTACTATAATGCAAGCCGACACGCAACACAGCAACGAGAATGTGTTGATCATAACTTTGTGTAGGGGAAAAAAAAAGGAAAATACTACAGCGGCTCGAATTGAGGAATCGGAGAGCCGAGTTCGAATTCCAGTTAAACCCATTCACTTACGTATTAATATCCTTGGGAAAGGTATGCATCCTCATCTTCTCTCCCCTTCAGCTATGGATAAATAGCAGGACAGGCCGGGTTCTAAAGCCTTGAATGACAACTGGTATACCGCAGAGAGAAATGGTACCCTACAGCGGGAAAAATCTGCGTCTTCTGCCATGTATCGAAAGGTACGTGATCACCTAAACGTTTATCACGCATGGCATATAACAGACTGAGTGCTAACACATAAAAAGATATTGAAATAATAGCTTCAAAACCTAGCTGGATGTTGGTCTCCGCAGATTCCTTTTCTTTAACACGTTGACTGCTAGTGGTAAATGACAAAAAAATGACTGCTAGTGGTAAATGACAAAAAACGCCAATTTTAAAATAATCAATTCAAAATCGAGTGTATTTATAAAGCTTCAATTGAAATCTTACCATTGTTTTCACACAAAATAAATCACAAAGAATAAACTCGTTGTTGACGACCCAAGATGAAAATGTATAAGAAAATGCCAAGCACAAGAAAACACGTGATCGGCACGTTATAATAGAAAGTTTTAACAACGAGTTATCTCTTGGTTGGCAGTCAATGTGCTAATATCTGTGAATTGCCATGATATCTTGGGAAATGTAGTAGACATCTTTCCTCTCGCCTTCTCCACGGTTTTGAACTGAGAGACACCCTTCTATATTTCTCCTCAGAGGAAGAAACTCAATCCACCCATGTCTAGGACAAGAATAGATAAATTCAGTCCGTCCCCAAATATATTAGATCAAAGTAATCGCATCAGCAGCGACCAAAAATTGAACTCTTCCTGCTGATTTCATTATCGGCGTCGATATTTTTTATATTATCCGTACGTCAGGTAGGTGAATAGCACATTTTGTAAAACGAATTATTTTAATTTATAATTCTTTTCTTTTTAATTTATTGCTCCAAACAAAAGATTACGAGAAGAATATTTCATTGTAATAAAAGAGGTTTGTTACTTTTTATCAATATTCTGTGTGTTATTAAGTGTGCATTTAGTCATCTGATTAATCGGGAATCTCTACATAACGATATACACGTAACATTTTGTAAAGAGAAACTATTTGTAATCAATTCACTCCGAGCAAGGAAACCCATTCCTAAACAGGGGACAACCGATAAACTGGGAGGAGTGTGAACCGGACGATAGGCAAATCTATCTACTCCTATTCAGGAGAAAAAAATAATTAGCCAATAAAATTTCAATGTTCAGGCGGAGAGATTAGAAGTATAGAGTTGAAGAAGTCTTCACAAGGAACCGGAAACCTAATCCTAAACAGAGATCAAGAGATAAACACTTATCCCTGCTTAAAAGACTACGACGTAATGTGAACCGGACGATAGGCAAACCTATCTACTCCTATTGAGGAGAAAAATAATTAACCAATATAATTTCAGAGTTTAGGCGGAGAGATTAGAACTATAGAGTTGAAGAAGACTTTGTAAGGTACCGGAAACCCAATCCTAAACAAGGAACATTAGATAAATACTTATCCCTATTCAAAAGACCACGAAGTCATGTGAATCAGACGACAGGCAAACCTATCTTATAAAAATAATTAGCCAATAAAATTTCAGTGTTCTGGCGCAGACGTTAGAAGCATCGATTTAAATTATACTCCTCGGCCAATGAAAATGAAAAGGTGTGCGGAAGAGATAATCATGGAAGTCCATAAATAAATTATTGATGAATCGCATTAGCAGGCAGGTAGAAAATAATATAAATATTTTTTAATCATTTCACCCCAAGGAATTCGCCAAATAAGACGCAAGGACATACTGCGGGCGAAAGAAACAAAGAAGACAATGGATACAGACTGTTGACACGCACAAGCACACCAATCGGGTGTAACAGCAAAATAGTCCAAATTTTCTAACAGCATAATTGTTCATCCCATATCTAGAAAAAAAAAACACTAAAGTAATTGAGTTTCTTTTTTTCAGACTTTCATGTAAGACGTTTAGCCATCTTGGCACCGTTTGTCGTAAGAATCAGTGAAAGACCCTTTTGGTTATTCAACTAGAATGAGAACAGGTTAAAATCGTTTTGTGTCAGACACACTACCTTCTCAACTGAGCAATGGTAAAAGGAAAAAAATCATTCAGGCCTTCAGTCATGGTACAAACATACATATTCTGGCTTCTTACTTCAAAGTCCATTC